CCTGTGAGACTGTGCAACATTTCTGCAAAACCCATAACCATCAGACACAATTGTAAACTGGCACAGTTATCGTCCATCTTGCGCATTGATGATCTACCACGCCATCAAAATCAAGATAAGTCACAATCTAGACGGAAAGATAGAGACCATGAATGCACAACTCCGACAGATCAGAGTCAAGTCTATGATGATCCATCAGATGTAAGATTTACGCCTCCGGTAGACCTCTCCACTGCGAAATTTGACAGCGAGTCACAGAAGAAACAGCTGGAAAATCTTCTTCAAGAATACTCTGATGTATTCTCATCTAGTTCACTTGACTCCGGATGTACATCAACGATTAAGCACAGCATTCCACTCATAGATGATCAACCATTTCGACTTCCTCATCGCCGAGTCCCACCTTCGCAATACCAAGCTGTCAAGGATCACCTCAAGGCCATGGAGGAAACAAACGTAATTCGTAGAAGTAGCAGTCCCTTTGCCTCGCCGATCGTGATTGCACATAAGAAAGATGGCTCATTGCGAATATGCATCGACTACCGTCGTCTGAACAGCAAAACTGTACGGGATGCTTATCCACTCCCACGCATTGACGAAGCTCTGGATGCTCTTGGAAACGCCCAACTCTTCACCACATTAGACCTTACATCAGGCTACTGGCAAGTCCAAATGGAAGAAAAAGACATACCCAAGACAGCCTTCACTACTCCCATGGGCTTATATGAATGTAACCGGATGCCTTTCGGGTTAGCCAATGCTCCGGCTACGTTCCAACGCCTTATGATGACTTGTCTAGGAGAGCAAAACTATGTCACATGTCTGCTGTATCTCGACGACATAATCATTTTCTCTACCAACTTCGAAGAACATCTTGACCGTCTTGCCAAAGTATTCTCTTGCCTGAGACAACATGGCCTAAAACTCAAGCCGTCTAAGTGTAACCTCCTCCAAGAAGAAGTAAAGTATCTTGGTCACATTGTTTCGGGCAAAGGTATCTGTAGTGATCCAGTACAACACTGGCCAACCCCCACTAGCCGCAAAGAATTACAACGATTTCTCGGCTTCACCGGCTACTATAGGCGCTTCATTAAAGGGTATTCGCACATTGCCTCACCTCTCTACAAACTCACATCCGGTGACCCAAGACGGAAGAAGAGGAAGATCAGAAAAACCTCTACATCTGTAACCCCATCATTCATTTGGACGGATGATTGTCAGATGGCAATAGATCAATTGAAACAACAGTTGACATCTCCACCGATCCTCGCCTACGCCAACTACTCACTCCCATTCATCCTGCAGACTGATGCGTCTGGAGTCGGGCTCGGAGCTGTTCTCAGCCAAGTACAGGAAGGAACGGAACGAGTCATCGCATACGCCAGTAGAGTTCTCAGCCCCGCCGAATCTCGCTACCCAGCGCACAAGCTAGAATTCTTAGCGATGAAGTGGGCAATTACTGACAAGTTTCGAGATTACCTACTGGGCAACCAATTTACAGTGCTGACTGATAACAATCCTCTCCTGTATGTCACCACCTCTGCCAAGCTAGATGCAACAGGCCAAAGATGGATTGCTGCGTTATCCCAGTTCAACTTCACCGTGAAGTACAAACCAGGCAAGAGCAACGAAGCAGCCGATGCGCTATCTCGCAAACCACATTCTGATACCTCGAGGACTCTCCTGACATTCCAGAAGGACGCCATCACCATCCCACCTCACATCGTGCAAGCCATCTGCAACAGTCACCCACTAGAACCAAATCTCTTTGTACAGCCTCCAGTAGCTAGATGTGAAGTCACGACCGAGAGTCACATGCCAGGACCAACCAATGACTTGCCTAGACTATCGAAAAAAGACATCATTTCAGCCCAGAGAAGTGATCATAATATCGCCAGAGTCATACACTACATGGAGAAGGGCAGAAAGCCAACCAGAGAAGAGAGAGGTTGCGAACAGCTTGGATGTCTCATCTGTTTACGACAATGGGCAAAGCTCCAGATGAGGGATGGCGTGCTCTATCGTCTGAGAAAGAACCAGGATGGATCAACAACAGAACAACTTGTTCTTCCTCAACAATACAGAGACACTGTCATGAGATCTCTCCACAATGACTTCGGCCACCTTGGCTTCGACAGAACGCTCGACATGGCAAGAAACAGGTTTTTCTGGCCTAAGATGGCACAGGACATCAAAACCTGGTGCGAGCACTGCAAGAGATGCTGCCTGAGGAAGACTCCCTCCACAAAAACTCGTGTACCTTTGGTCAACATCAGCACAAGCGAACCTATGGAGCTACTTTGCATCGATTATCTCAAGTTGGAAAGGAGCAAAGGCGGTTATGAAAACATACTGGTCATAACCGACCATTTCACCAAATATGCTCAGGCGTTCCCTACTCGCGATCAAAAGGCCGACACGGTTGCCAAGATACTCTGGGAGAAGATAATTCAGCACTATGGATTTCCGGTGAGAATACACGCGGACCAGGGTCGTAATTTCGAAAGTCAGCTCATCCGGGAACTTTGTAAGATCTCTGGCATCAAAAAAAGTCGAACAACCCCCTACCATCCTCAAGGGAATGGCCTTACAGAACGCTTCAACCACACTCTGCTGAACATGCTCGGTACACTTGAAGAAGACCAGAAGAAAGACTGGAAACAATACGTAGGAACAATGACACACGCCTATAATTCCACACGACACGACTCTACCGGTTATGCTCCATTTTATCTCATGTTCGGCAGACATCCAAACCTACCAGTTGACTTGATGTTCGGACTCAAGTCCACGGAGAGAGAAACACCAAATTACGATGAGTATGTCGAACAGCTGAGGGACAGACTTCAAGCCTCGTACAAAAGGGCTAGCGACTTCGTCAAGCAGGCAAAGGCGAAACAGAAACGCCTTTATGACAGAGGTTCCTGTATCGCCCCCCTACGTATAGGTGACAGAGTCCTTGTCCAAAATAAACATCTGGTCGGAACTAGCAAGTTAGCCGACAGGTGGGAGTCACAACCCTACGTAGTAATATCTAAGCATCAAGACCTTCCGGTGTATACCCTCCGTTCTCTTAATAATGGAAGAGAGAGAACCGTACACAGAAATCTGCTGACTCCATGTATGTTTCTGCCCATGGAAGAGGCCAGCTTGATAAGAGACGTGCCCCTGACGAACACTCAAACAAAAACAGAGCCCGACACGGAACAGGCAGATGACCAACCTCAAAAGATAGGCATGGAAGAAAGTGAAACCAGCGAGGAAGAGGTGGACATAGCATTTCTCCCAGTAGAAACAGAATCACCTTCACCTTCACCACCTGTGCTTACTCCAATGATTGATCTTGGTACGAGAAACAGTGATGATACTTCTCCTTCAATCTTACCACCATCACTAACTCCTGAGGTACTGAGCACGCAGGCTAACGAGACCCCAGATGAGTTAAACATCTCTGACAGCACAGCTTGTCTCACACCACCAAGCCCTAGACCTACCAGAACCAGAAGACCTGTCAGTAGGTTGACATACGACTTCCTTGGTCAAAACAAACAGCAGCGAGCACAGTACCAATCACATCAAGAGAGAGTCAACGCCGGAAGACGACTGTTTGAAAAGTGGAAGGAACCAAAGATGGCCGAGACAAGAAGAAAAGCTTGTCTAAGACTCCTTCTGCGAGAAAACAGTCCAATCTAACCATGGCTCTATCCCAAATATAATTGTATATATTAAATTTAATTTGCTTTTAATAATGATGTAAGATTATCTTGCGAACACTGGTGACAGAGATCTTGAAAAGACGAAAATTATGATCTCTTTATTTTCATGTATATTATGCATTATGCTATTACAAGGTTGATCTTCGTAATCAAAGGTGGATTATATTGATTTCCTTTATATAGAAAGTAATGTTACCATGTATATATCTTCTGCATCAGAATAACTTAATTGTCCAAAACGACAGATTTTCAGGGAAACATTTTGATATTAATCTAAGTGATTTTGGATAACTGGTGTTCTAATTAAGTTAAAGAATACTTTTTTTGACTTTGAATTTCCGGAGGACGAGGAGCCGATCGGATGTTTGATTTAGTGGTTATAATAATGACATTAGAGAGTAGAAGTCATGATTCTGTTTATCTTTATTTAATTATTTAATACTTTCTTACATTATCATTGTATAAATAGTGTACTGTTAAACAAAATGTCGAGGACGACATTTTCTCTCGAGGGGGAATAATGTGGCGGTTGCGATGCGAACCCCCCTCTATTTATTTTTACATTACGTAATCGTTATCTGTTATTTAAATTGGCGAGCGCCCTCTTGGTTTTGTAAACCAGTTCGCGCGCTTTCCACATTTCGTCATTCTGTTTTCGGTCGAAGACCAAGTAACACGTTGTCTTCGTTCCTCAACAGGTAATGATCTTTTTACATTTTACCTCAATCTTTCTCATAATAATAACTTATATTAATTCACAGTTAACAGGTACTATCCTTGAGTAGATTTAGATTGCTCTTAGGTCATTTTAGTTGATTTTGGAAGCATATTCGATTATTTCAGGATATTGATTGACTTGTGATTTTTCATGTATTCAAGAATTCATTTAATTATCTTATCGTAAGAGTGATAGATATTTCGATATTGTAGAAGGAATTCAGCAGTTCATTTCTTCATTATTATATAAGATTGGATTAATTATCTTGTATTTATTGGGTTTTCACAGTAAAATTCAATATGGCGGACGCTGCCCGAATTTAGGCGCAAACCGCGGGATCTTGAGTAAATATTGATGAATCCTTTTTGGTATTTAGTATCTAGATTATTTCATAAGTATTTTGTACAGTCATTCTTTTGTATTTTGTATATTTGATTCTGTTTTCGGTCGAAGACCAAGTAACACGTTGTCTTCGTTCCTCAACAGAAATAAACCAGCACAAACTGAGAATCAGCCGTTCAGCCCGTATTGTTTAGAAGGGTCACATAAGTATATGCATTGCCCTTATGGCAAAGTTGTGTCCCAAAGTGTGACGTCATGATTACGTCATCGGGGTCACGTGACGTCATCAAAACGTGCATATTTTGAAGTCCTATTTCTACAGAACTGTAAGTCCGATTGGTTTGAAACTTGGTATGTGGGTAGACCAGGATGTATTAAAAATATGAGGTAACGTCATGATGACATCATCATGCAATTTTATATGAATAATTGAATTTTTGGACCTTTGAAAAGTGTATGACCTCATCATGACATCAAAAATGCCATTTTTCAAAACACATATAAGGAAAGGTCTGATCGTCATGAAACTTGGTGGGTGGATAGATAATGGTACTAGTATGCAAAGTCTGAAGTGACGTCACAATGACGTCATCGTTTGATTTTTAATGATTTTTTTATTTTTTATTATTTTATTCTGCTCTCAAATTGCACACTTCCTTTCATCGGATTAACTGTAAACTTGGTTCACGCCCAGACCAAAATGACAAAATGTGCATTGAGAAGGGTTTTCAAGATGACGTCATCGCAGGGCATGTGACGTCATGTGATAAAACTTTATTTTTGGAATTATTCTAAGCATCGTGAACAAGCCTTTAAAGGTATTAAACACTCTAAAAAGTGAATGCAAAGGACAAACATAGCATAAACATTTGTAAAATGCGAAAAAATCCCTGTGTTCTGTTTTCAAACAGACATACAGCTCTAGTTTCTTTCTTCGATTGCTTTCTTCTTAGCAATCGCTCTTTTCCAATTGTTTTACTTTTGTTTGACATACAAACGAAAAAATAAACCATATTCCCAAATTTCCCGAAGGTCTGCCACATATGGGAGGGAGGTCTTCCTAAAAGGTTGGAGTACAAACATAAGAAGGAAAATATAGAGGGTCCCCTATTGAAGGCAAACGGGTGTGTTTGTTTGTGTTTTAGAGTGGCTACACCAACTGGGGTCCCGGGCTGCCTGACAACTACGGCTACGAGGACTGTGCCTACATGGACCCCGGGTTCTACGGCGCAGGAGGCAACTGGAATGATGTCTGGTGCTTTCAATACTACAACTACATCTGCAAAAAGAGGATCACACGTATGTCAACGAGTCACGAACTTTGAATGATATTCGCTCCTTCCTATCGTCCACCAAGGCCAATGCACGCTGACCTCGATATATATTTCCCTCAGATTTTGTCTTTGAATCACTACAAGACATTCCCTTTGGTTTTCGAACATTTTTTTCCCTTATTTTTTTTTAATTATCCCACAGATACGTTTTATGAAATTCAAACAAACGTATGAATATTGGATGAAAAATGGGCACTGATGAATTCGAGATAGAGATATGTGAGACTGTGGCAGATAAACGACAGCCTTTTAAATTCTTTAATGGAGTAACTATAAGCAGTCATGTGACATTCGTGGTTTTCCTCACCATAAAAAATCACTTTCCCATCGAATCTCCTCCATATTGGTTCGCTGAGAGGCGTTGTAAAAGAAGGAAACTGATCTGCATCGGGACCACTAATTACTTTTACCACTACTTCCTTTCAACACCCCCCCCCCCTTGCTTACTTTATGTCACTGGCTGTAAAAAATATTGTATCAAATGAGAGCCATGGTTGTAATTCACGGTACGCGGACTATTATGTCCCCCAACACACACTTTTGGATCAGAGGTAGGGCTGTTGGATCACCCTCGTCCCCCACTTATTCGTTGTGAGAAACAAAAAAAGGCGGATTTTGATCCCCCCAAAAAACTTTTGAACAATGGGAACGGGACGTTTGAATAAGAAGTCGGACCAATGGGACGTCGTATGGACCAATGAAAAGTATAGACCAATATGACGTCGGACCAATGGGACGTCGGACCAAAGGGACGTCCCCGTCGCTGGCTCCCCTTAAAGAACAGTATTATAGCTTGTGTTATGGGTTTGAGTGGTTTGTTTGCTTTTTTGTTTCTTTGTTGCTTGGAGGTTTTCATCTTCATTTGTTTTTATTGGTTTTTGTTTTATTCCCACAGCCTCAAGTTGTGATGACAAACCGTGTCAAAATAGTGGAGTCTGTGAAACCGATGGGACTGGCGGTTACCAGTGTAAATGCAAGGCAGGTTACACCGGCAAAACCTGCCAGGAAGGTACGGCCTTTGCTCTAAGCTTATACGCATCGAATAAAGAAAACAATGAATAATTCTTTGTTGTCTGCATGCCCTTTGCTGTGCATTATCCCTCCAGAATAACCTTTTTCCCTTCACTGTATCACTGGAATGCATCACGACAGCAAGTTTTTTATGCCAATCCCCCCCCCCCCAAAAAAAATATTTTTTTGTTAACACATTATTGTGAACATACAGATTTTGTACCCTCCTTTGCCTCATAAAAAAAACTACATTTACCTTTTGATGATTTACGAACATTTTGATGGCTGACCACCCGCCTCCCGTCAACTGATTGATATTAATCATTTTACATAATAGGAAAGAACACCCAAACTTTCCTTAAGAACCCGGATTAACGTCATTCATTCTAAAGTATAGCAAATCTTCATTCAATGCTTCATGCCCTTGGATGGGCTTTGAGCACTTATTTAACTTTTAATATCTACCTCTTCATTAGTGCTACGCAGCACCTCATTGTGTGTTCGAATGTATCGCCTCGTCTTCCTCTGCCTTTGGAATTGGACTTTTACATCCGAGTTGCTCCTTTAAAAATATCCTGGATCCGCCACTGTGTCTTAGACACTAAGCAGACAAGTCCCACTATACTCTCGTCGATTAGAATATTGTGCCTTCGTTCTTTTGTTTAATCGTTTGTCTGTTTTTATTTTTTGGATTCGTGCATTTTTCAATCAAATTCCGTTTAGTTAGCTCAAACACGTGGACACGTGTGGTTTAGCGGAGGAGCAAATGATTCGTGATCGTGAGGTTGTGGGTTCGAGCAATTGATGTCCATTACTAATGGTGATCAATGGTTCGGGCCCTTGAGTAAGGCGCTTTTACTCCTCTCAGCCCAAGTGTTAAATGGGTACCGGCATTATTCAATGCTGGGAAGGTAACAGACTCGCTGTGGAGGAGGTGTGGCAAAACCCCCGCAGCCGCATATGAGTTGGACCCAATCGCTAAAGAAAGAGAGACGGGCACTCCGTTCCTGTTAACACAGGTTCCTCCTTTTTTACCTTTTCGTTTTAGTTCACACAATATAAAGATTGTTTTCTTCCCGTTCCTATGTCTTTGCGCAGACAACTATTGCCAGTCTGGCTGGAACCATTACGGAGACTTCTGCTATCGCTTCTCGGATGAATATTTACATTTCGACGATAGACATACCTGGCAGGGCGCTCTGGCGAGATGCCAGTCGGACGGGGCAAACCTAGTCAGCATCCACAGCAAGGACGAAAGCAACTTCATTTTCGGTAAGAAAAAACAAAACCAATGGCTTCAAAGAAACCTAATACGCTTTGTTTGACTTTGTTTGGTATGATAGAAAAAAAAAGACGAATGGTAACAATGGTACCAATAGGTCTCCGCTAATTCCAACTACGTGGGAATATCGTAACCCATTTTGGGACAGGCCTATACAAATATGCCGCACGAATAAAGACAAATGGTTACCAGAGCCCAATTCAATGGCTCTGCTTACCGTTAGCGAAAATTCCCCGCTTATACTGTAGCCGATTTTTTTTTAGCAGGAAAACTGGCTTCTTCGCATGCGTACATCCAAAACTAAGGATTGTGTACTTGCAGGGTTAGCACGTAATGTTTGTGCTCTACAGCAAGGCATTTTATCACTTTCAAATAGGAACTTTGTAAAAAAAATATACACAAACTACTATACTCGGGATTTTAAAATAAGGACTGGGAAATCATTAGTAACGTCCCACTGTGGCAACGTAAAAAGTGTAAACCGGATTATCATCAGTTTAAGAACGCCATTACTACCGTAATTACTTGTTATTTGTTTTAGAATAATGCGAGGTTTCGTTTGTGGATAGATCACATGGGATACAGTAGAGGCCGTTTTTGGATTGGTCTTACCGATCAAGAGAGGGAAGGGTTCTTCAAGTGGAGCGACGGAACAAAGGTATACTAAAGTCAATCAAAGCTTAATTAACTGATTATACACCGTTAAACTATATAATATTGGATTTGTTAGGATCGCTTTATGTAACAGTTTTTAAACATTTGAACTCGTTTAATGGGAGAGGCGTTTTTTACTAAAAGGCTCGATTAAAATTTCATACGATTCATTCTATCCTATAATGAAAAAAAAACATATACAGCTGTTACCCTTTTTTCCAGCTGGACTTCATCAACTGGAGCCCACGGATACCCGACAATGCTGGCAACGAGGATTGTGCGCACATCGATTCCGTATACTTCGGCTCACAGTGGTCGGACGTTTGGTGTGGCCAAATATATGGCTACGTGTGCAAGAAGGCTGCGGAAGGTAAGAGGGTTTATCGAACTACTTATGTATAAAACATCTGTGAAAAAAGGCAGATGGGCACGAGAAACTGGTTAATATTGCTTGTCTTTTTAGCAACAGTGGATCTCTTGGGGTCCAATTAGCACGGGCCATTCAGGATCCGTCGTTGTTTTTAAGGGGTGCGCGTGCTCAGTGGATATTATCCACCACAATGTTATTTTTGCTTCTCCCTATTTTCAACGAGTGGCATAATGACGGACTAGATTTCTCCTACCGTTCAAACGGTTAGCAAACACTTCAGGCTGCTTCCTATCCTGGTCCAGCATGTGTGCGTCCTCAATTGAGCATGTATCATTCATCTTCACCCAGAGTTATAACAACGTGGACACAATACACAACCCACTGCAGATGTATTTTTCTTTGCAATGACGTTATCATGACGTCATCATGGGCCACATGACGTCACCTCAAAACATTATAAATTTAATCTTAGAAATTCAATATAAAAATCGACCGTGAGAGACCAGAACTTGAATTTTGCGGGAATCGATATGATAATACAGGATCTTCAATTCATCTTGTGCGTGCAAAATCACGTGACCCTTCCTTCCGGTCCAAACCGGAAGTGCCTAATAATTTGAAAGTGGAAAAAGATATAAACTTGCTTTTAAGGATGTTAGTCTGTGGGTGGGTTGAACCTTCTAAAAAATAATCGGTGACGCCATGAAGAATTCGAGCGCCCTCTAGCGTCGGGTTAAATAATGTCCAAAACGCATTTTCAGTTGATGTCTGTGGCGAACTTTGCGGTAATCGCTTCAAAATTAATATACATGATCACCTTAATGCAGACAAGACCTGTGCGCGAAAAAAAATGATTACGTAATCAGAATGGAAGTTACAAAGAAAAGACCTCTTTTCCTTTGAAAATTGCTAAAAAATCAACCGTCAAAGATATCATCAAGTTTTGTGCTTTAAATGACACTTTAATAATAGGTCTAAAACTTCCCAAGGTTTCGTTACGATACATTAACTAGAAGATGCCCTGCAGCCCCTTGACATTTGAAGTTGAACGCGCCTTCGTCTTGAAACGCTCATTTAATGCCACGTATATTGTCTGTACAGTAAACTGGGGATTATTGCGTACAAAAGGGGAAATCCCGACAAAAAACAGTGTGCTCTGATTGCGTACAAAGAGATTCCCCGTGCTCGCTTCTTGAGTGTCTGGTTTTACGACTGTTGTATGTTAAGTATTAAGCTACATGTAACGGCTGTTTCATGGACCAATGCATTTTAAGTGTTTTATCAGTGTTTTGTACACGTTTATTATGACAACTTCTTAACGCAAGCACATTTTTTACTTCTGATGACGTCATATGATACTCAAAAATTGGGCTGGCAAAAGCGCCCGTTTGGGCGCTTTTTTAAATTGGGCACTCTTTTCTAAAAACATGCGCAATGTGGTGACGAGGGTATGACGAGCAATATTTTGTATTGCGCTAATGGTGTGCAACCTTTATTTTTAGAGATATGAACTATTTAATGGGTTTTTGTAACGATTGTGCTCGATAAGTTTAATGTCCAGCAGCATACGCGCGTGCAGATCCCTACCTGACTCTTTTAAACTATCCTTTGTATAATTACTACACGCGCTATTTTCCAACCCTCAACCCTCAACATCAACAATCAACTATCAACAATTAACATCAACAATCAACATGAACAGTCAACATCAACAATCAACATCATTAAACAACAATGAACATCAAGAATCATCATCAACAATCAACATCAACAGTCAACATCAACATCAACATCAACAATCAACATCAACAATCAACAATAACAATCATCAATAATCAACATCAATAATTATTAATCAACATCAACAATCAACTTTCAACAATCAACATCAACATCATTAATCAACAATCAACATCAACTATCAACAATTAACATCAACAATCATAACAGTCGACATCAATAACCAACATCAATACTCAACATCAACAATAACAACAAAGATCAACATCAACAATCAACATCAATAATCGTTAATCAACAACACCAATCAACTATAAACAATCAACAACTGACATCAACATGAACAACCACCGTCAAATTCAATCAACATCAACAATCAACATCAACATAAACAACCAACAATCAACATCAACAATCAACATCAATCAACAATCAACAATGCGAAAAAGCCCACCCTCTAGCCCAACACCGTGTGTTTGTCCTCTAACTGTAGTTTTTACTATTTTTATTCATTTTAGATGATGACTCAATAGCGGCCAATCATCGCAAAATTAATTAATGAAATTCTTGTTGATGCATCTTTTTAAGTACTAACGTGATTCTTGTAAACTTTTTAAAAAGGTTCACAATCATTAGTGAAAAAAGTCCCATTTCTTTTCCGCTTAAACGTTTCAACGTGTAACATTGCATCCTTGGAACAACTTCCATCGTCGCCGTTTTCTCAAACATCCAGACATGCCAAACGATGTAAACATTTTTTTATTCGATTTCGATTTTTTTCCCCACTATTTCGCTTTAAACATCGTACTTAACCATTTTGACATGCTTATGTAAAAAGCAAAACATTATTAATTTCTTAACTGCATTAATGATGCAAAGGGGCGGGCATCTTAATTAGTGCATATTGTGTTTTCACGAAGAGACACAAAGAGCCACACATCTTTATTACATTATCAGTTGCGGGCGCCTAACACGTGCGCCTCCTCCCATGTAAAATCACGTTGATCAGAAAGGGCCCAAATGTAGGAAACATGGATTTTCGTTTTCACAAAGGGACACACATCTAGTTGATTCTTGCTAATTATGTATTGTGCTGATAATAACTGGGTTTGCACAACAACTTACCTATCAAAGAATCATGTGAATGTTTTCTTGCAGTTTTAAAATGGGAGGAGCTTCTCTTGCGATTATCTTGAAAACCTTGTTTTGTTTTACAATCCACATGGGTGGCTCTGAAAACGGTGACGCAATAATCATCACAATACCTTCCCTTTTGCGCTGGTACCCACCTCGCTGCTGCTGACCTCTGATCACTTGACTCACCTTTTGATGTTGCCGATGGAGTTCCGCGCGTAAACCACTGACCTACGTGTATAAACAACTATTATACCGCGTGGGCCATTCCAAGCTCACGTACAAAAACCGCTCAGCTACACATTGGTTTCCTATACCTGCATTCCAATATGGGAGGGAACCTGTCTCAACCACTCCCGTTGTTTAAAATTACCCAAAGAATCAACAAGATCTTTAGAAGTATGGAAACTGTTTTTTTCTGAACAAAACTTTTATTACCATTTATTATTAAAATAATAAAAATAATAATCCAATAAGAGTTCAAATAATTCAAAAAATTCTGTGGGTACAAGAAAAAAACCTCCGTCGCCAAATATACACAAAAGTGAGTGCTCCGAAAAATAAGCCGGCAGTCACCAAATTTTATACTGCACAGAGACAGAATGGCACCTATAGAATAGCATTGTTTTTCTTCCCTTTCTGCAAATCTAGACTATTGTTATCCAACACATTCCGTCAATATCTCAGAAGCATTTGTGATATTTTTCTGACAGTATCTTTCCTCACAATAACGGTCAATGCAGTGGGTAGTCCAGTACTTCATGTAATACCAAAATTTGGATGTAAAAGTGAGAGTCATTTGTTTTATTGTATTTGTCAGTCTAATGTTGATGACTTTTTTTCAGATTTTGACCAATGCGCTTCACAGCCGTGTCAGAATGGGGCTGCCTGCAACAATTTAAAGAATGACTACAGTTGTCAATGTCTCGATGGCTTCGAGGGTAATGACTGTGGAATCAGTAAGTCACTTAGTCCATCAGCAAAGGTCACACATTTTGGCCATCGCCTTTATCAAATGAGGGAGTAGATAGAGAAGGGAGGGTTACTTGGAAAATATCATTGCAGCGGTGGCATCTTTATTGGTGTTATCACCCTTTTCCTTAAAAATGGTCACCAACCTGCTTGTTACCACACAAAAAATGTGTTTAGCAAGTAACCACAATAAAACAGTTTCTTGCCAGCACCTCATTCTAAAAAAATATGCATGTGCGCATGACTGTTTACAAACTTATGGCAAGAAACTGTTTTGAACCGTATTTACTAGATGAGCACATTAGTAGGCCAGACAATGATATCCACACAGAGTCAATTAGGCCACAATAATCAGAATATCTACATTTAAAAACTTGGTCCCATAGTCAATTTGACCACTCTTGGAAAATTACTCATTACTCTGTCAAACATTATCAGATTTGGACGTCTGATGTCTCATTTCAAAGTGAAAAAGCGTATCTTCCATACTATTTGTAATATCTATGATGGTTACACATTCCACGTCAGGCATTCCGTTCTATTTTTGTTTTAAATGTTTTCGATACACACTGTATATTTTGAAATTTATCTCATGCATTTTCAAGGGAAAAAAGGTATTTGTTCGGGTCAAATTTACACGGTTCATTTTCCAGGTCATTTTGACACAAAAACATTTGGAAAAGTGCCATTTTGACACAGATATTGTAATTTTGAACCTAAAATTGGGCCAAAATAATAGAGCACGGATTCCTGGTCGAATCTTACAAGGAACTTTCAAATGTAGACTCAAGGATAACCCTTACAATTTGCAATTTTTCTCAGATATTAATGACTGCGCCGTGCAGCCATGCCAGAACGGTGGGGCTTGTTCCGATATGGTCAACGACTACCATTGTAAATGTGGAGCTGGCTATGAAGGAAAGAATTGCACCGTCAGTAAGTACTATCCGAATCAATCATTTAGACATCTAATAATTTTTCCTTGGTTATTAATTTTGCACTTTGGATAGCAACGTTCAAGATTTAATAGGTAAACAAAATTGTCTTATGTACCTTTTTTTTGAAGAACAAAGCGACTAAGCGAGGGTTGTTTCGTGTTGACATAACTTCACTGTCTACCGAACTGAATGCATTCAAGATTCATCCATTGTTTT